AGACACGACAAAGGCACGCCAGCCAAGCCACCAGTAACGGATGCACATCGTTCCAGAGAGCTAGCAACCGCCTATATTGCCACAAAAATTATAGTGTGCTTGATCGTTGGGTGAGGATAAGCAGAAGTAGGAGGGACAAAGAAACTCGCAAAATTAGCGACACTGAGGTCGGCTTCAAATTAGGTGAACAGGTGCATCCATCCAAACGTTTTCATTGAATTTCGGAAGCGCAATCAGAGTGATGAGAAGCCCCAACCGAGACCAACTTCAAACAAAGGTCTTCATTCCTATTGACCAATTCATGCCTTGGCTTCCCCTCCACTTCCTCTATTCACTCCACGGACAAGCAAACAATGCACGACGCGGCAGCGGGTGGATTGGCACGCGCAACATGTGGCACAATCATCGGGGCCTGGTGCGTGAAATAACGGTGCTAATTAGCTCACCCCTACTTTCTGTACCATGAAAAAGGAGCCGAACACGTTCATTGCTCATAAAGAGTTCCCACCAAACATCAGCCAACCGGCAACGGCACCAGTGATTGAACCTCACCGAGCTCTTTAAGTCTGTCAATCTAATGGACTAGGATTCACAACCGTACAGTAGGGTCGATCCTCTGGCTTCATTTTACACTCTACGCTTCAGAGAGAGAGAGAGAGAGGGCAAGTGATGTCGTACCGGCGTCGTCAGTGGCAAAGTTAACGTCGAGCTTTTGCTATTAGTTTAGTGACCACGTCTTCGCTTTTACAGATGATGGTACGACTGCCTAAGCAGTTAAAATTTCGAACGGTTTATAATTAATTCCCACCAACAATCAACGCAGTAGACGCCCCCTGCAATTTGAAGGTGCAAGGCAAACTCGGAAACGGCTGACAGCCAGTGCTAATCTGTCATGCTTCTTGGCACGTTTGTGAGCTGTCACATATTATGACAGTATTGTCAACACACTGCAAGTCGAAGTTCTTCCTGTGGGAGCAGCACTACAGTTTTCAAATCGTGCCAAAAGAACGCAATCCCCAGAACTTCCTCAATAGGGAAGTTAAGTAGGAAACTTGACTGCTGTCAACCTTGTCTCACACTGCTGGAGATAATGAAGGGTGGCGACAGTTTGCCATCAACTCTCATTTTCACCGTACATGGCTCTTCAAATGTTTACTTATGTATCGAGCACACCATTCCTGAGCTGATAGTCCCAAAGTTACACCGATTTACCGAATCAAAGCATATTTGATGTCGAGAAATACGATTACGTTGGGTCACCGATAAGTATGACTGTGCTCCATCAACTGACGCGTGGTGATTGTTGTCGGTGCAACTCGATTTTGACAAAATCCAGCTTGCTCCTCACGAATCCCAAGATTGCTGGCCACATCTCACTGCACTGAAGCTGATACTACGCATGGGGGTAACAGGTTTGGCTCAAACTGCTAGGCTTGGAGAACAAATGAACGACTGAATATGCAGCCATATTATCAAGTTGCGATAACCGATAAATAGGTCAGCAACAAATCCGGGCTAAGAATATTCTAAATTATTTCGACAATATCTGTGTTCATTGATTTTAATAAAGCATTGGACCATGATGATCGATCCACTGTGTTCCAAGCAGTGTGACGAAACTGTCCCTAGAATATGTTATATGTACTATGATATGTACTAGAACACCACAGGTCGTGTCAGGGTCTGCGGTGACTTGTCGGATATAATTCTGACAGAAATGGGCGTTGGTCATGGTTGCTGTGTTTCCACAAATCACTTCAGCTTCATGGTTGAAAAGCTAATGGAATGTTACCGCGTGGTATATAGTGATGCAGGCTTTGAGATACTGTCAAGGGTGAACTATTTGATCTCGATATTGCGGATGATATTCTTTTGTAGTTTAACGATGTTGATGTCGCTCAGTTATCATTTAATTACCTCTCTAGACTGGTCCCATCATTTGGTATACAATTAGCAAATTCATAATGCAGGACAGCGTGCCACTTGACGACCCATTGACCCTTGACCGGTAGGAACTCGAGGTAGTTAAGCAAAACTCCTTACTTGTCACCTGCATCAGCAGCGATCGGTGTATGAGTAGCGAAGTCAGTTTACATAAGGGAAAATCTAAAACCGCCTTCGTGAACATGAAACCTCTGTGGCGTCAGAAGGTCGTTTTTATAGTCTGAAAGACCGTGTTTACAAGGCCACAGTGTAGCCCGTACTAACCTATGTTGGTGAGATTTAGCTCCTTCGGTCTGAGGATCTGAGACGAATTCATGTCTTTGATCACCGTTGTCTGCGAAGCATTGCTGCTGTCGGATAGCAGCGGCGTGTGCGCAACAATTATGTGCGTAGGCGAGTGCTAGGCAGCAGAAAGAAGGTAGTTCCTTAGAACAACAAACCATACTAAACAATTTGCATTGCCTTGGACCAGTATTTTGCACGCTCGGTTACCGCCTGTAGAGCAGGGTCTCTTTTCTTTTACCAGGTCATGGGTGGCGCAAGGTACGAGTTGAACCAAAGTTATCATGGCAGCAGGAAATGAAGTCACTGACGTCCCAACTCGGTTCCATCGGCACTTCTTGGTTTGCAGGCTGGGGTTCATGTGAGCCGCCTTACGCATGGCTGGAGACTTTGCAGGATATGGCTCACAGTCGATATCAGTGGCGGGTCTGCTGTCGCCGCTTAGTTGGACTGTCTGTATAAATTGGGTAATGGCTGATTATGATGCTGGGCAGTGAAAGCCGCAAGAAACATATCTCGCCGATGCAGCTTTATTCTTGCATGATACCCATATTTTTCAGGATCTTTTGACAAGGTGCCTTAACTTTCTCATTTTATTCGTCGTTCCGTATGTCACTGTGTTTGCGCGTTAGCCAAATATCAGTTCAATTGACTGGTATACTGCTGCTGACGATGATGATGAATGATTTCGTACCATGTTTACATATACTATCACTGCTGTTATATTAAGGATAGGTAACCTATAGTCTTATTAAGATTAACTTATTTTTGCTTGAACGTAGGCGTGAATGAAGGCTAGTAAGTATTTTTAAAAATATTATCTTTACTTTCGCGTGACATGTACGGAGGTGCACATCCACTCAAAAAATGCATGATAATTGCCGTCTATAACAAAACGAAAAGCCAATAACAGTATGATATATGGTTTAATCAGGGAACGCTGCTGCTTGTTTGAGCGTTGCCGCTTGGTAGGAGATATCTGCTCCATGTGTTATTAGTGTATTCATTTTGCTTAGGTATGAAAGAAATAAGAAAGAAATAAGAAAGAAATAAGAAAATAAGACACCAAGGTACGGTAACAAAATGGTGTTTTTCCTACTACGCGTTTCCTACTGAGGCACAATGATAATTTTGTTAAGGCTTTCATCCCAGTAGTTCACAAGCTACATAGTAGAGCCTTGTCCGGAAGAGCACCAGACGCGTTTCACCCTATTGGGGCTTATCAGTGGTGCGCACTCCCTCGGTCCACTACTGGCGATCGAACCTATGACCGTTAGAGGCAGATGCCAACTAGCCAGCAGTTTAAGCCACTGATCCGCGGGGGACATTGTCTGGGGTACATAATTTTCAAGCTAACTTGGATATAGCACCACCTATCTTCCACTGTCACTGACAGTGACTTCATACAACCATATGTTAAGACAGGAAGCCATGTATATCCGGAATATGAGAATTCCAAAACAAACAAAAAGCAAACAAAGCACCTTCCGTAAGTCCTGATAGGGCCTAGTTGGAATTTATCTGGACTATCATGAAGTCGTGGTCATGACAGATTAGCGGTAAGGGGTCATAGAATGTAAAAGTTAACTTCGTCATAATTTGAAGACCATCGCAGTCCGAATAATTTATGAATTACCTCACGAGAATCGCCAGCAGAAAGCATCCCAACCAATCTGTGTATGGCTATAGTTGATACGCTGTTATTATTTAAGTCAAGAAAAAATAAGCTTTCAACCAATTCACACTAATGATGCGGATAGGGAAACAGCTGAAATGAATTCACGAAAATTAGTTAAAGCGTTGAATGGAAAATATTCATGCAAGTTACTCGAACAAACAGCTGCACATCGCACGGAGTAGGTTAGTTTCGTCAACAAGTTAACGTTACAAGTAAGTTAGATGGAATCATTTTATGATAATGTGCGAAAAATGGGACTACATGTTTAGAGCGTGCATCAGAAATATCTAATGTTATGATAAAGTAGCGGCATATACTCAGACCTGATTGTGAAAATAAATTAAAAGTAAATATGCTTCCGCAAGAAAGGTGAAGTTACCAACTACATGCAGTTCTTGTCATCACAACAGTGAGCTGAATTAGTAAATCACTGAGAAAGTTGTCAACTTCATCGAAGCAGCTATCTCCACTTCTAATTAATGAGGTTCAAGTGCACGCTCAGATACTGATTTTTCTCTTAATTATGCCTGAAAGTCACCTTTAGTCCAGTCATATTAAGGAAATCATTTCCAGTTATTGGGTTTTCGAATGAACGGGATATTCAGTGCGTATACCCTAATCGCAGATGCTATGGCATCAGCAGTACGGCGGTACGCAGCAATGACGCTTCGCTGCCGCGCAACTGCCACCATTAGGACGTGGGCTAAGGATACGGCGAGGGTTGCCCGGTTCCTACGCAGGCTTGAACCCACGCCATCGGATTACAAGGCACTCTCGTGGTCCTTAAGGCTACGGGCCGGCAGATGCTATGGGCTGTTACATTGTAACCTTGAAGGTATACCTGGCATTCTGAATTCAGAATCCTAGATATAACATGCTTACTGTTAGAACCACTTGCATACTAGTTCTAACGTTGAGAATTATGAAATGAATTAATTAACTAAAATACAGCAACACGACAATATGACAGCTGAAGGCCTAAATGTTGCTGAGCACATATCCATCAATAGCAGCGAATAGCATTTAGAATAAGGCCTTTTGATGGTAATCCATACACTGGACATTTTTACTAACTGAATACTGTGCAAAACATGCATCAGAAATCTTCAAATTCAATTCTGAACTTTTCCTTGTCTGCAATTTTGAGGTTCTCTTCTTCCCATTTTTCGAAGCAGCTGGTGTCTGAAGGGCCCTTGTATTTGGGCTTGTACGGCGGTCGGACTTGCAAGTGATACAATTGCAGCCAGTCCAAATCTGCAAAATACGCGTGTTCTTTAATGTCCGCAATGCCGTTTTTTAAATTGCCATAGCGTCTGCTCAGATCCACTTGGATAAGGTTGCGAATAAGGTCTTTTAATTCCGGACCAAAATTGTTTGTAAATTTGACTTTTCCTGATATTATATGTTCAAAGGTTTTCATTTGGTCTTGATGCATAAAAGGTGGAAATCCTGTGGTCATTTCATATAGTAGTACTCCAAATGCCCACCAATCTACAGCACAGTGATATCCTTTGCTCATTATAATCTCTGGTGCCATATAGTCCGGTGTCCCACACAAAGTCCATGTTCGCTTGTCTTTTGGAATCATTTTAGCGAAACCCAAATCCGCCACCTTTAGAAATCCTTCCCCTGTTATCAACAGGTTTTCAGGCTTCAGATCTCTGTAGGCGATAGTAAGGAGATGTAGATATTCAAATGCCATCACAACCTGGGCAGCATAAAATTTCACCATGTTATCTGGAAACCTTCGCATATTTCGCAGAAGAGTAAACATTTCACCGCCAATCACAAATTCCATGACCATATATAGATAACTATTGTCCTTGAAGCTGAAGAACAGTCGGATAATAAACGGGAAGTTGCAAGCTGCCAGGATGCGTTTCTCATTAATGGCATTGTCGATCTGTCTGCTTTTGACAATTTCAACTTTTGATAATATCTTCAGGGCGTAATAACAATCCTTATCCCAGTGGCGGACAAGAACCACACGGCCGAATGCTCCCCTGCCAAGCGTTCTAATCCGTTCAAAATCTTCCATCGAAACAATTTCTTTTGGCGGGTTAAAATAGTTCTCCCGAAATTCTTTGACCTTTTCGGCCAGTATTTCATCGAATTCCGCTTGTCTGGTCGGCATGATTATAAATTAGCCACACTTGTTACGATAATGCTCCATTTTTGTACAGCATTATTCAATGCATGGTATGTCACTCACGTTCGTCCAACGCTGTTTGCACTAGTCCTGATTAGTATCGACCATAGGCAGTTCAAAATGACACCGTTAAGGCACGTGGCCTGACCATGCCCGCGGCCAATAAGAATGCCTCATGTCGGAGCATATTTCACCAATGCTCTCTAGTGGCTACTGATTTCGCTGTGTACCGCCTGGTGTAGGTAACTTCGACTGTACCAAGAAAGAACAAGAAGAATGCCCGTTCACACGCATTTTTTGCCGCACAATAGTGATTGACATGTGCGCATTTCGCTACTTTACGGAGAATGAGGATTTTACGTTGAAAGGGGTAACGAAAAGCTGAAGATGCGCAATGCCTCAGTTTTGTTTGCATAAGCGGGTAAGCGAACTGAGTGGCGACATCGCATTAAGACTATCCGGAGTTTACCACTGTTACTCAGAAGGTATATACAGCGTTTCCAATCAAAGAGTGAACAAGTCAGTGTGTTTATTTACCCCGATGCACATTATTGGCAGTGTTCCGCGTCCGTTAATTAGCATCGAATCACCAATGTTATCAAGTTACTCATGCATAACAAGTATAACCCCATAATCTAGCAGCCTGTGAGAGAGCAAGTAAACATACTTTTCTTTCAACAATGTAGTTGAACTGTCATTCCGAGGCACTGGTATGAAAGATGGGTGTTTATCAATACAAATGCACACCAACCCTGTACATGCTCAATTATCATATTAAGGTGACCTTACGTGACCTCGGTTGTTTCGAATGCATCAATCTATGTGTTTAGATAGACAAATGGTTTCGCTGAACACTGCATCAAGGTCAGCACTTATCCGCTCTTATAACAGATCCCACTTGTTATGCAAAGGCAGTCTGACAACTGATTTTCTAAGTTGCATGCGGTATTTCATTGAACTCAAGCGGTGATCGGAAAAGCACCATCGAAACCAAAACTTGTGGTTGGCAACAGCTTTAAACTCGATAAAGGGTCCCTAGGGCGGAAAACAAAATCCTTAAATATGCCGGACAGAACTGGAGTGCATTTCGGTCCTACGTACGGATAATTATTTCATCCGTGATAGCAAGGATTGCTTTACAAAGAAATATCTCACTGTTGTAAACCATCGTTGATATCTGAGGTTCAGAAAGATAAACTGGAACTATTGATGTTTCAAGTTTTCACATACCGTCTCGATACATTCAGATTAGGAGGATGCATTTTCAAATTCCTATTAAGTCTTATGCTTGGATGGAAGTACAGTGCAGTTTCAGTGACCTCCTTATGTGTAGCTAGGAAGAAAATAATGATGCTCGCGTAATAAAAGTTGAGAATTTATGGCAAAAAGTTGAAGTCTACACGCTTAGTTTAGTTGGCATACATCATGCGGTGTGCGTGTAATTTCTGTGCAATGAAAAGGCCCTTTTTGCTCACTGGTTTGTTAAACTCCATAAAAAAGTAAATAACTCCTGGATGGAACCTGCAAACATTTCGAAACTATTCCTTGATTGCGAGTTGTTGCGTATGTAAAACTTGCTATTGTCAAAACATGCACTACCGCGTCTACTTTCGAATTCAGCAAGCCTGGATAAGACCAGCCTGAGGCAAAATCTACCGGGACATTACAGTCGCATTCTAGCCCGTGAGATTATTTCTAATGCCTCATTGGTCAGACTATTAAGATATAAGATCCCGGGAGAGTATCTCAAGCTAAACTTTACTTACTACACTCTGCGGGTCACAACAAGGCTCATGGAAAAGCTAGTTGGTAAGAGGCATCCACCCACAAAACACTATTATCAGAAACCTCTTCCGTCCATCTGTTTAGCTTAATTTTTAGACTTAATTTAAGGAGCAAAAGAGCACTACCGATTTCCGTAGCTGCACAGGTGAGAAAACTGGATCAACTTCATACCGAAGGTACCACACTACTTCGGATATTTCAGCTTCCGCACACTGCATTATGCTTGTCAAAATATGACTCGCCTAATAATCTCTCGTGATGCCAGTTGAGTCGGTTGCGTTTGTCCGTTCCAGAAATTGATTCGGCAGCAGTGTTTAAGGATGTGCGGACTTTTCGCCTGGCAAACGTTTTCCATATAAAAGTGGCAAATATATGTTTAAAATGTTACGGATGTTACCAGCCACTAAATAAAACCACTGTCGCTTGCTTCACGCTAGTTGAGCATTGTATTCCAACAAATTGGTGTTGATATCATGGGGATGAATGGGCCCTTGTTTGATGACTCGACAAGCAAACGGCGTATAAACTGAGTGTTAATCACTGACTAATATTGCTCTAATACACTGAATTATCCGTGCTGCCTTGCTGGTAGGCTATTTATTCAAAGGATCGGGGTGGTGTAACCTGATTCAACTCCATAATTCGGTTTGGGCAACCGGGTTGTATCATGCCCTGTGACATGAAACCATATATTGTTATACACTGTGCTCAACTGCTGCCGTTTCTGCTTCCTGCATACCTACGGCTTCATCACATACCAACTCTTCTTTAGTTAAGATTCCGTGTTATCCATTATCTTATTCCTGGGTCCATGGATCCGCCTGCGATTTCGGTTGTAACGCGAAAAAAGGAGTTTAATATGTTGCACCCCTTCGACACCGATCATCCTTCCGCCTGGGGGAGGACTACAAGGAACCAACACTCACGCTATTTGCACAACAAGCCTGTATAGAGAGCACTCTGGAGTGCCTCATTGTTGATGTCCGCTACTATTCCATTATCGATTGCAAGACACTAACACTGTGCTTACGCAGACATACCCAGTATCCACGAAGCCACATTTCAGCTTCGTCTTTCTGGGGATCCAGAAGTAGCCTCAGCGGATTTGGCTAGTGTAGGTTTATCGCGGGGTGGCAAGGTATAGACTAGATAGTGGACTGGTTCCCGATTAACAGAAAACTGTGTTCCGTTGGGCTTCCGGATTTTGTAGAACAGATGTCTAGTTGCAGCTTAGAATTCACAGGATGAGCTAATATACTCACTATGATTGTGTGAGGTCACGTCGACCAAAGCAGGACCTAGTCCGGGGTCTCGTAGGGTAAAATATGAAGATATGCACCGGTGCGGAAATTGTAGTACCGGGCCCCGTAATAAGAAATAAAAACGGCCATCATGTGGCCTTCACTGACGGGAACATGCGAAGTGACTGTGTTGTAGCCAAAGCGTCCACAGTGGAAAAGAAACACGTTTACTTAGTGTTTCTATTCCATGAAGACAACAATTCTGAAAATCATATCAAGAAATTATGAGCCTATGTCACTACTACTTGTGGGACAAATTGCATAGGTTGCACCAAGAGACGTTTGGGTGAACGAGTCCGTCAGCATCACGCAGCTTGGCTAAGCTGAGGATTGAAGAAAACATGCACCACTGCAATTGTCGCGCACACATACCGAACGAATCATCCCCTCGTTATCTCCAAACCCTTCTATCGATCTACCATGTGCGTGATGTCCATTCCAAGTTTATGAGATACCGAATCTTCGCTCTGGTGGAGGAGCTTGCAATTCGTCTGAACAACACCCGTTGTATGTGTAAAAACAGTTCGTCAAGGCTTTGGCTTTATCATCTCAAACTGGACAGCTTCCGAGTGAACAAATCATCCCCGTTTTAAACATTTTGGCACCCATAAGTTCTAGTTATCTAATGCAATCCCTATTATCTTAATTCTTTAATTTTGATGTATTTGGCATGATGATGAGGTACCGAAGGGGAGTTTATTTGCTGGACCGTCTTGTATGTAGCATCAACGTGCGTCGCGAGAAGAAACGCAACTTGCTGATGATCACAACGTACACTCCATCTGACTCTTATCGAGAGCTTCATCAGGACTTAAGCGACATCAACGAACCGGAAGCCGTTGTCCTTGACGTGGATTTCAATAAACGGGCCGGTCGTCCATTACCAAACGATCGACATTTTGGTGGTCATTACGCGAGCGATAAAGATCGCTCACATAACCGAGAGGGACGTCTCACATTTGGGAAAGACGATCATCTGTATAACTGGAGCACGAAGAGCACGAGGAAGTGTTCTGCAACTGTTTGTCCTTTTCCGTTCACACAAGGGTGGTCTGAGAAGGATAACATTGCAATCAGCTTATGGTGGTAGGGCAGCGTACGGAACAGTGGGTTTATTTGGTCCATCTTCATTGTCTCAAATCATGCATTCGTCTGTGCGAAAATCGACATGTGTTTTATGGAGTCCTTAGTAAGGCAGCACGTCAAGCGTGATGAGAGCAGACTAACTGATTCATCGGTCCAAAACAGCTATCAGTAATCACTGGCAGACACACTCAGTTGCAAGGTATTGGGCAGCACTGGACTTGTAAAATGAAAGCAATAATCACTTCCGGACAATTAAGCTGCAACATAGCTAGACGCCACTTAAAGGATTAGTTCTCTGTGCACTCTTTGAAGCTGTTCGACCGCCGAAAAGAAATCCTGAAAGAATCAAGTTACTGTGAGCGGCGCCCCTATGTCCACCGGCAGCTCAAGTAAAGCCTGCTCAAGGATCACGACGCTTGTTGGTCTGAGTGTGCTCTTTAGATAGAGACCACCGTCCTCTCTGGCAACACGCATGATTTCCCTACTTATTCCGTCTATTGGCCTCAGGAAGTCTGGTGTCGTTGAGGTTATTCTGAAAGCGGATGGGTCTGCAATCACCAACCAACAGGTGAGTTTGGGCCACTGAACCGAGCAATTTTACTTGCAGTTCAACTGGCCTTTATATTCCATCCGTGCGCTCAATACACCTTGTGGCATATCCTGGTTCGTCGCACCGGATCAACACAATGATGCGGAAGTCCGCCTGGGGATACTACACTTAAAGTGATTCAAGGCTTACGGCTCAGACGGAGTTCCGCCTGAAATATTCATGTACGGCGGCATGGCAAACAATAACCAACCGATCTTGATCTC